ATTTTCTCCTTCACTATCAGTCTGTTTCCCGTATCTATGAGTGTGTTTATATTTTGTTTTTTCATTTATTTTGTCCTTTAGATTTCACATATAAATGAAATTATATGGTACTTGTCTTTCTCTGTCTGACTTATTTCGCTTAGCATAATACTCTCAGGTCCATTCATGCTGCCACAAGGGGTAAGAGATCCTTTTTTTTTTTAGCTGCATAGTATTCCGCTGTGTAAATGTACCACAGCTTTTTTATCCACTCACCTACTGATGGGCACTTGGGCTGCTTCCAGATCTTGGCTATTGGAAGTAATGCTGCAATAAATTTTCACTAACCTTGGCCTCATTCATGTAATTAAAATGTGTCCCTCACCTGTCAGAGAAGTGACCTGCCCACCAGGGAGATGTGCCCAGTGAATGAAGCATTCCCCCGCCACAGAGAAGCTGCTGATGAGGGTGGAGAGAGCCATGGACACTCGGATCTCTCTCTCCCTTGAAAAGAAAGGGCGAAGCCCCCACGTTGGCCAGGGGACCAAGGCAACAGGAGGCCAGTTTTCAAATTCCTTCTCTCCGCTACACGCAATCCCTGTCTCATGGGGACACAAGGAGTTGGGGGGTTAAGTAAGTGAAATGTGTAAACTGCCTGACACGCACCCGCATGGCCTCCCCGCCCCTCCCCCGGCGAGCTTCCTGAGGGAGGGTCCTGGGTCTGAACAGCTGTCCCAGATGTTTGTTGGATCGGATCGATCAGTTTTAGTTGTGGAGACCTCCCGTGCGCAGCACTGAGGTCATTTAGCGAAAAAGAAGCGGTAACATCACAGAATTTTTCAGACCAGAAAGGGACCTTGGAGATCACATCTAATTCCTTCATTTCTCAGAGGAAGAGACCGGAGCCCAATGAGCTGGGAGGATGGGGACTCTCGGTCCTGGCTTAGAGCGCTTTCCGCGGCAGCATGTTCGCAGGGCGCTCCTCAGGGCGGTGTGTCAGTCCCATCTGGGTCCCCAGCACTCCCCAAGGGTCCCGCCTGCTGCTGGCGCTCAGGAAACTCATTAGTAAACGAACTCACTCGCCGCATCCCCGGCATGTCCTTTGAAACATAGCTGTGGCCTTACAAGACTATTGTGAATGGCTCTATTCTGTTTTATACCTTCCAGGCCACATACAGAGTGTAAAGTGAGACTCTGCCATGGACTGTGTAGTGAAAATTAAAGCACTTTAGCATCTTAAGATATATCCATATTCATGTGTCATATGTTAAAAGACATGACAGAGCATAACACACCGCTTAGCGTGTGCTGTATTTTCCTTCCAGGTGGGAGAAGTGATCACAGGGGGCCCGCGAACGCCCGTGTCTGTGCGGAGTACCTCGGACAGCAGCAGGGAGCACACAGGCGAAAGGTACCGCCTCCTGGGCTGGGCTGTCTGTGGCTTCATCATCTCATTCTCTTCCCTCTCTCAGGCCGCGCGACACTGCGGGCGTTTCCTGAGCCCTTGCTCTGTGCCAACACGTGAACCCGCACGAGCTGTGTCCTCAGTTCACAGATGGGGAGCGTGAGGGAGAGGGAGGTCGTGTCGCCATGCGGTGCTGGGACGCTGCGGAGCCTGCTGCTGGTGCTGCGCACACTGCCTGCCCGGATGGCCCACATGTCACCCCATGGAGCCCGACCTCTCAGGCTGCCGGGGCCAGAGGCCCTGTCGTGTCTCCTCCTGTGAGAGGTCATCATCTAGCCTTCGCTTAAGCTTCGTCCCACCGGGACCTTCACCCTCTCGAGAGAATGTCCACCCCTTTTTGAGTATTTGCTGGTGTTGGCAAGCCTCTCTGATCCCTCACTGAAGACTCCGGCTCTGCCCTCCAGGCAGGGATGCCCCTTACAGTATTTCGGACAAAGCTCTCATTATTTCCCAATTCCTCCTCAGAATGAGCACCCCAATTCTTTCAACTTTCCTTCTACTTGCCATGATTCCAGGCTCCTGCCGTCCAGATGGCAGAGTCTGTTTTGAACCCTGCACACTATCTTGGGGACACCAATATCTATGCTGGAATTATCACCATATAAACACCTGAGCAGGGGCTGTCTTGATCTCTTGCATCATACAAGCAGATAGGCGCGCGTGCATTCAGAGACCGCTGTCGGCGGTTCGCAGGGGTTTCTAACACAGGTTGGTTTGAACGGGTATGGCATTCAGTTCCTCCTGGAGAATGCGGAGCTTTGCTCGCCTTGGAGACCCACTCGTGTGTCCCAGCTGTGATCTCCATTTCAGATACCCGTGTAGCCGACAGAGACTCATGGGTACCGTGACTGTCATGGGTACTCACGGTCATAATTAACCCCCAACAGCATCAACATGGCATCAACATGTAATGATCGGAACCTCATTTGGGAGGGATCGGGTCGCGACGGGAAGCCCAGTTGCAGAAGCAGTTTGGAGCCAATTTCACACCCAGGAAACCCGGCATCCCTGTGATCCCACTCGGTGACTGGAGCGGTCTTTGCGCCATTTTTCCCAGTAGCATCTCTGATGCTATTTTCGTCTTGATTAGTAAGAATTGATCACCTCGCGACCATACCTGGTGCGTGGTGCTCCTGAGCCACTGACAAACTTCATTACCCACATTGCCCTGGGCCCTGGCCCGGCCCGAAGGTAACTCGGCCAGGAAGGTAACTGGCAGGCGCTCTGGGGCAGACCCGAAGGCCCTGCCAGCGGGGAACCACTTGACTCTAAATTCAAGGTTGGGGGTTTTTAACCGCCCGCTGCCATGGAAACCACCAGATCTTACGGAAATGCCAGCCTGTGGTGACAATTCAGCTCTCCTCAGTCCCGCTGGGCCAGCCTCCTCTCAGCCCCGGGGGTGGGCTCACTTCCTATTCCCTCCGACAGGAGAGGAGCCCTTCGAGACCCCACCCTCGCCCTGTAAGACTGCCCTCCTGGCCCACTCAGGACCTTGGCCTCTGTCCCCGGACTCCATGGGGTCAGCGTGACCAAGCACAGCCTCTGGGGCCCAGCAGATGCCCTCGGGGCAAAAATGGCTTCAGGATCTGCTTCCCTCTGGGCTCCTGTATCCACTAAGTTCTGATCTCTGGTAGGTCCTTACTGTCAGGTTCTTCAGGACCTCTAGAAAAATTTCAGCTGGAAATGGGAGACTTTGGGCCAATATCGCTATTCTTATGCTCTTTAATAGACGGAATCAAGCTTTGATGGTTTTATGCCTAGTAATACTTTTTTTTTTGCTTCCTTTTTTGGTAATAAGTATATCAATTTTGTCTTCCAGTTTTTCTTACTAGGCTTAGCGGTTCTGCTTCTGGCAGCCAGGTGGTGGGTGAGACCACGCTGAGCACCTAGGCGTCAGGCCCCGGGCTCTGAGGAGGAAGCAGCAGGGAGAGGAGCTGCCGCCTCTTTCTGTGGGGATGAGTGCGGCCCTCGCGCCCCAGGCCTGGCTGCTCGCTGTCCCTTACCCAGAGCGTCAGGAGTAATTAAAGTCCTGCCTGCCAGTCAGCCCTCGGCCTCCGAGGTGGGAGAGCGGCAGATAACCCGTCCAGGCTGAGCTCACTCTCTACTACTGAGACCGGAAGTTGTGGCCCAGGAGACACGCTGGCAGCGAGAGAGGCTGCTTTTCCACAAAGTCAAGGACAACGCAATTATAATAGATGATTTGGGTGTTTACTTAATTAAGCCACTGGTATCATAGCCTTTTCAATAAGAATCTAGTAATTAAAAAGTAGAACACTATTTAATAATGATTTTAAATATTTTTTTCTTTGAGAGAGGGAGAGAGAGAGAAAGACAGAAACATAGATGTGAGAGCAAAACATCAATTGGCTGCCTCCTGCATGCCCCCTATTGGGGATCAAGCCAATAACCCAGACATGGACCCTGATCGAGCATCAAACTGGAAACCTTTCAGTGCATGGATGATGCTCAACCTACTGAGCCACATCAGTCAGGGCTAATAATGACTTTAATGTGGGTCCCTGAAAACAATAACTTCCTGCATAGTTTGTAGTGTACAGTCAAGGTCTTACTACACTGTTGGATGTAGTTACCAGGGGACCTGTCTGCACGGACCACTGGATGGCTGGCGTCTAGAATGTAGTAGACACTTAGCATATATCTATGGAATAACTGACTAGACCCGTGGTCAGCAAACTGTGGCTCGCGAGCTACATGCGGCTCTTGGCCCCTTGAGTGTGGGTCTTCCTAAGCCTTAGGAGGACCCTAATTAAGTTAATAACAATGTACCTACCTATATAGTTTAAGTTTAAAAAATTTGGCTCTCAAAAGAAATTTCAGTCGTTTTACTGTTGATATTTAGCTCTGTTGACTAATGAGTTTGCCGACCACTGGACTAGATGAATGGTGCAGTGATTCCAAAATAATTTGACCGATCGGTAAAATCACCAGGGGAACTTTATATAAATACTGCTCACTGGGCCCAACTCCAGGCTTATGGAATCGAAATGGCCAGAAAAGCAGCCCTGTATTATCTAGACCAGGGGTGGGGAACCTTTTTTCTGCCAATGGCCATTTGGATGTTTATAACATCATTTGTGCACCATACAAAATGATCAGCTTAAAAATTGGCCTGCTGTATTTGGTCAAACATTTAATCAACTCACCCCTGATGCCTTGGCCGGGCCAGGCCAAATGATTTTACGGGGATGATACGGCCCGCGGGCCAGATGTTTCCCACCCCTGATCTAGAGTTTCACCGACTCTTACAATGGGAATCCCTGGCCAGCGGGGCTGCTGTCCTGTGTTTCACTACAGCTGCTGCTGGGAGCTCTGGGTGTGGGCAGGAGGAGCAGGTTCTCCTGGGTGAGGAACGTGGTGGGCGGAGCTCGGCTAAGCACGTGCACTTGTAGTGTAAACACTCCTGCCGAACCACTGCGGGTTGGGTTGTCTGACCCAGCAGGTCCATGGGCCTTAGTAGCGACACTCAGGAGTAAGACCCGCCTGGAGTGATCACTGTGATCCCGGCTGTGGGAAGCCGGCTTTGACTTAGGTAAGCAGACCTCGGACCAGCTGACCACTCCGCAGCTGCCTGGGCCTTCGCACAGCCCGGTAGCACTTGTTCACACCCCATTACTCCAAGGTCAAGCTCTTGCTTCTACACGGCCCCGAGCCACGGGAAACCAGGCACAGCCTCTTATCGGCGTTGCTATGCTGCAGGGGTAGTACCTACCACGTTTGCTGCAGAAATGAACGTGCGAGTTGAATCCATTTGTGATTGAATTTTAAATGATGTTCCAATTTCCCTTGACCTTTTTGTTGTTGTTCTAGGAGCAGACAAACTGAGAAACTCGAGGTGGATCCCAGCAAGCACTCGTTCCCCGACGTGGCTAACATAGTTGGAGAGAAAACGCCCGCACCCAGAAGAGTCCGACCCGAACCCAAAGTCATGCCACATGAGGAAGATCCAGGCTTTGAAGATGACCCGGAAGTGCCCCCGCTGATCTGACACGTCAGGCTGCAGCGACTGGGGCCCCCTCCCAGGACCCAGCTTTGCTCAGCGCAGAGAGTGTATGCATCTCGCTTGTGGGACACATACAGAGCTATTTACCAACATCACCACCCCAGTGTCGGAGCTCCCACTTGCTGCAGTAATATTCTTAAACCACTTTAAAATGAGAAGTGTACCTTAAATGTGCTATAACCCACTATTTGTCTAGAATAAAGTGTTTGCTAGTGAAAATGAATGTTCAGTAAATCATAGAGCTAACCTAATGCAAATATTCCTTAAACAACCAAAACACATGGTGTTATGGACCGAATGTGCTCCCCACCCCCCAGTCCCCATGTTGAAGCCCTAATCCCACTGAGGTGGTGTTTGGAGGTGGTTAGGTCAGATGAGGTCATGAGGATGGGCCCCCTGGTGGGATTAGTGTCCTTAGAAAAGAGGAACCCCAGCTCGCTTTCTCTCTCCCCACTCTTCTCTCTCTCCACCTCGTGAGGACACTGAGAAGACAGCCGTCTGCACGCCAGGAAGGACTTCCCAGGAACCGCACCAGCCGCACCTTGAACTCAGACGTCCAGCCTCCAGAACCGTGAAAAACCATTTCTGTTGTTCAGGCACCACCCATATATTATTGTGTTACAGCAACCTAAGCATCTGCTGTGTCAACTCCCCCCCCCCCCCCC